CTCATTTTCTGTTTGGGCATCCCTGATGACTCATGTTTGTTTTTTCCCTTCCTGAAACTTTCCCCCATATTTAGGCTCAGAGGAATACGTCACTGAGACTCGGCGGTGTGTAACTACTTCAGTCTGCACATGCTCTCAACTTTCCACTCAGAAATAACATGTGACATCACTTCAGCTCTACAAACGCCAAGGCAAGTGGCAGCTAAATATACCGGTTGGATCAGACTTTTGGAGAATTAACAAGTCTTTAGTTGCCAGGAAAAAAAAAGGGCTCTTTTTTTTTTTTTTTTTTTTTTTTTACTGCGCTTAAAGAGCCCTGCCCTAGAAACTCAGTCAGGAAGATTTTCAAACAGATGTTCAGATGATTATGACACCAGAACAAAAATAGGAAGCAACTCACAAAACAAAAAAGAAACTTAAAAAAAATAAATAAAACAGAAAGGCTGCTTTGGAGCGAAAGCGTTGGAGGCACTCTTCCTGTAAAAGGTTCACAAGACATCCTGGTGCTTTTCCTCTTCCTGACTGTACGGAGCAGGATGCTGTGGAACAACGCCGCCATCAATCATCTCAACCAGCGAAGCGCCTTCGTCATGTACAGGCCTATTTAATAAGAGTTCATTACCTCTTATTAAACATAACTACATTCTGATTACATAATTTATGGCATTTTTAAAGTTATGTGGGATTTTGTTTTTTTCGCAAACCCAACAAATAAAGAGAACCCAAAAATAGAAACTAGTTGCTCACTTTCATATCTTTAAAATTATCAGCCAAATGCTTAGAATTTCGTTAATAAATTGCAACTTAGCTGCATTAACAATGTCTTAGTTCAGTGTCAAAAGCTGCTATTTTCTTAGATGAAACTTTCCAACTTGTCTTCTTTTTTCCAGTTTGGTCGCAGCGAGCCGCCACTGATCTCCTGCTCTTTCCCCAGAGTATGTGGAAACAATGTAAAGTAGGCGGCGTGTCCCTGCAGCTCTGTGGCCGTGAACCAGGGTCACTGCAGCGGGGGGCGGTTTGTTGTTTGTGCCCTTTGGCTTTGCCACCTGGCTGAAGAAGAGCAGAGATGCCGCTCTTGCATCCAGATATGTCCCCGTTGATAAATAAAGCCAAGCTGTGAACATCTACGGTCCTCCCCCTGCTGAGGGAAAAGCATGATGCTTTATCCCCTCCCCCTCGAAAATTGTGACTTTTTGTTGCATTGAAATAAAAAAAAAAAAAGATCTTTATAATAAAACTAGTGTTCAGTCTCTGTAAAACAATGCAACAAAAAAAAAAAAAAAAACAGTATGTGTTGAGCGGTCGGTCACAAGTGGAAAATCTCATTGTCTCTGAAACAAAGACTGTTGGTTTTGACCTTAAAGACAAACAGACGGGTCGTCAGCAGCCAGTGCACATAAAGTGCAGTAATTTTAAAAGTTTAAAATCTCCATAAGAATGTGTTGTTTGAATGAGCAGACAGAAAATGAACATGTTTTTCAATCAGTTTGCCTTATTTCACACAGTGCAGTTTGATAATGAACTGCAGCAGCTGAAAATAGAACAAATGTTGAATTTTGGTCCCGAATGGGAACCGAGTCAACCAGACTATCAGGTATGAAAACACCCTTAGTTGATTGAGTCTGTGCACCGACAAACCCCAACTAAACTCACTACCAGGTCGCTGCGGAGCTGATGAGGGAATTGATGCTCAAACCAATTTAGAATGTCAGCTCCCTAATTATCTTCTATTTGTTTAAGACAACCAGTAAAAAAAACACACAGTTTTACAGTCTTACATGGAATGAGGCCCCCACGTTTCCTGATGTAAAGGATGTATGAGGTCTTGTGGCAAAAATGCTGAGTTAAAAGTGTCACTTTTATGCCTTTTTATATTGAAGATCTCAAAGGGAACTCAGAATCTGCAGAAAGTGCAGTGACCAGCTGAAGTATTCTAAAAACCGTACATCAGAAATTGACCACAGGTGTAGTCTTTTAAGAACTGCTGCACATCTTTCAGATTTTATTCAAATCTTTCACAGCCAAAAGTCTCAATTTCTCTGCAACATATCAGTAAGTGTAGACACAAAGCAGCCATGAAACCTAAAACCATCACGTCCGGTTTGCGTAATTTGCATTACAACTGACAGAGTAACGCAGAACGCGCAGCAGCGCTCTGCAGAAAAATTATGTCAACCTCCTTTTTCTGTTCTTCCCTCTGTGCCTAAAATATCCAACATCCCACCCTATAATCACAAAAAAGAAAACGGATAAAGTGCGAGAACACAAACTGTCAAGTGGTCAGTTATTTAACCTGCCATGTGACACCAGCGTGAGGCTCGGGGTCAAGCCTCGCTGCGGTGAGTCTTCACAGATAAAGACAGATCCCTGCATCAGTTGGCTAATCCTGACAGAGAGGTCCTGCCAGCACCATTAGGATAAACCCGTTTGAGGCGCTGCAGCCACTCCACACATGAATAACACACAGGAATGAAAAACACTCAACACCAATATAGTGTCAGAATGGCGTGATCTGCAATAACACAAAGATACAGCTGGAAATAACTTGGCTTTCAGCAGAGGCTTTTATTCTGAGGGTGAAAAATTATGTGGATCATAAATGCAAAATGACAAGCATGCAGAGAGCTGCCTTCCTGCAGATTTATTTTCCTTTTTTTCTGTTTTCTTCAGAGACTTCCGCAAATATTTTCTGCATCTTTGCACAACGTGGGTTGTTTAGAGTACAAGTCTTAAATCTCAACATAATGAACTTATACTGCAGACACTCATTTAAATACTAATTTGGTAAAACCAGAAACTGGACAGAAATGGACAAACTGAAAATCAGAAAACATTGACAAATGGATAACTCAACAGAAAAATGTTTGGATGAATGCTACACTTTATAAAAAGGATAACTATACAAATATTTGAAATACTCCTTTTTATTTCTATAACCAGAAAGATATTTTAAATCAAATTTCATAATTTTCCAGACTCCATAGAAACCCTGAATTTAAGTGTTTCTCTCAGAATTTTCAAGCAAACATATGTTGACGATTTAACTCCTTCACACATGTGTGGCAGGTAAAGAACCTCTCAAACTGAACTGGCACATCATGCAGAGATAAATCCTCAAAACTTGGCTGCCAGAAAAAAGTTAAATTCTTAAAATATATATATCCAATGCAGCTGACTCCAACATTTCTAACCAAATCTCAGAATTTCTTATCTTTATTCAACAAGCCGACTGAATGCAAACCCTACTGATCGGCTGTAAATGAAAATATTCTCTGCAGTTGCTTCATCATAAAACTCTAATGGCACAATCCTCAGTACGCTGGCATCTCTCATCCACTTAATTTACAGCTTGCAAAAAAGCTGTAAATACCATCGGCCTGGGGCAGTTAACAAGCCAGCAATGACACTGTTATTCACAGAGACGCAAAGGGTTTGCCTCCATCGGTAACCCCCAGTTTAAGTGTTATTGTATTGATTGCCTCTTACGCGAAAGGTCTATGCCAACCAGATGTCATTTTTTACAGCTAGAATACATTTATGTTTGACCTATAATAGAGGTAAATCAGAAAAAAATTTATATTAATGCAAGCTTATGTACGGGTGCCCGGGTAGATCAAAGTCAATACCCGTAATATCTGCAAGTTCAGGAGCTTCAAGGAGAGGGATCCAAACGTAGACACAGAGATGTGAGAAGAGGAGTAAAGAGCAATGAGTGTCAGAAAAACAAAGCATTGCTTTATTCCAGATCTGAACTATATTACAATATTTTGGAAGAACAATAATATTGGCAAATATTGCAATGACATCATCACTTGTGATTTATCCCCATTTCTTCCTTCCTTCTTTCCATCATTCTGTCATTTAGCATTTTCGTAATGACATTAGTGTCCATTGTGACATCTGCTGCCGTGAGACTAAATTGTGCATCACAATGTAAAATGCATGTTCATAACACTGGGAATTAAGAATGGGTATTTATCATATCGCTTATCATTTATAGTGAAAAACGAAAGATAAGAACTTTGATCAAATTAAATCAAATTTTAAAAAAAAACACAATATCTAAAAATGTTATTTTTTACCATTTTCTCCGCTTCTTTTGCGTCACAAGAACGTCAATAAAATCAGAAACTTTGAAAATATGATTGAATGCAGTTACTGTGTACAGTACAAATCACACTTCTTGAAGTAAGTGTCTATTTTAAATGGGAATGTTTCTCAAGAACAGAGTTATGGCATAATAAAGGCTGAGCCATCCAGACACAGTAACCTTGCATATCTATATTTTTCGATGGAAATGTAAATAACAAATTACATGCTTCTATTTCTGTGCATCACAACAAATACAAACACAGTAGAGTACACAGCACGCAAAAACTTTTAGTCCAATTGTATGAGCCTGGTGAAGTTTTGTATGTAAACAAAGAAAGGATTCGTGTCTTATGGTGTAAATCGAACAATCTCGCGTTGCTTGCTGTTGTTTCATATTGTGTTGTGACGCTTCGGTCCCTATTCCTGGTCCTAGTGGCTCACTGTCCTGCATGTTCTGCCGCATCTGATTTATATTAAATGGTCATTAACAGGTTTGTGCAGAATTTGGCATGCTGGGATGCTTTATGGAGGCAGGGGAACATCGAAAACATTAGAGGCCACCATACTGATGTATACCGCATGGGGTGAACTTGAGGGTGCAATGCCTGCACACCGCAGCGACCTAAAACCACGATGCACACGCATGCATGCGGGTTGGATTCCCACGGTCGTTGCAGTTCCTGTTGTAAGTTAAGTGTACCCGATTATCTGAGCTGATAAGGGGCTTAAAGAGGGATGCAGCCGTACCTAGCAGGAACCAACTGCATGGCAACAGTTGCACACAGAAACATTGTTAAACTGTTGCAGATCCGGGCGCTGCAGTGTCGAGATGTTGCAATAGACTTCCAGAAATAAGCACGACAGATTTAATTTGCAGTACAATGTAGTAAATCCTTTCTCCCACTGACCTGTTGCGTCCGTTCAGACGGATTCATCATCACAGCCTGCCGAAAGCGGTTATCCACATAAGACGCCATTGTCTTGGAAGGCGGCGTGTAGCGCAGTTTCTTATTCTTGAAAATCACTTTATAGGAATCCAGAGGCGATGTATATGCACAGACGTAGGCCTCTGTTTTGTTGTACTTTATTCTTGTTGGCTGTGGTCCGGAGCTGGGAGTGCCCCAAGCCAGGCCACGACTGGAGCCAGACAGCCGAGCGGTCTCCTCGGGGTGTCTGTCCCTCTCTGCTGCCCAACCCGAAACCGGCTGCCAACAGCGGTCCCCGCTGCCACCGACTATTTAAACTTATTTAAATTAAAAAATGTTTCAAACAGTCTCTTTGAGTTATTTTCAAACTGCCAAACCTAAAGTCCCACCGTTGAAGCCAGCGTTACGTGAAGATATTCCTTGTCTCCTCAGCATTCTGCTGGCGACGGGAAGAAATTCCATAAAGGATCCGGTAAACAAAAGGAAAGCTAACGGCTACAAGCTAACCAGACAGCAACAACATGGCGTCCATCACGAAAAGGTCAAAACTCCTTGTGTTCACTGAGAAAACTCATTTTATTCGCGTTTACAGACAACTAAAAGTGAGAAATGGCACACCACCGTTCGCCGTGTTCTGTTGTATGCCACCACCATGGTGACTGACATACGACATCAAGTCCGAAGGAGTTAGGAATACTACTTCCTTGTGCGATTTTCAAAATAAAGTTCTGCAAAAAAAAAAAAAAATATATATATATATATATTTTTTTATAACTGTACTTAAGTTTTCAAGTAAAAAAATAATTAAATATACATTTAATGCTCTCATATAGATTACACGAGACAGAAGCAAGTTAAAACAATGAAATGGAATAGGAACATTTAAAAAAAATTCTGCATGATGTTTCCGTTTGTTCTTTGTTGTTTGCTGGGTTGTTTCAGGCTCTTTTTAGGGATACTGTACTTGTAAAATGTTGTATTGGCACAATGGTCATTTTGCAATTAACTTATCAAACGGAGATATACAAATAAAACTAGATGTAAAAACTCACAAAAGAAAACTCTGTAATAATTTTCAGTTCGGTTTATTCCCTATTGATATTATTTAGACAGGGAGAAAATTCTGTTTCCTCCAAATCCATCGTCATCTCTATTTGACTTGACAAGGATTTAGTAACATGGAGGAGGCTTATTATGGGCGAGTCCATTCAACAAAGGACTGAGTGAGGGATGTTAATGTGGGAAAGGTAGTGCTTTGGCGCCACCAAGTGACGTTGTCGGAAATTACAGGGCTAAATGTAAAGAACTATGGCATACATAACTCCTCCAAACTCCACGAAAGACTAGGAAGTCCAACACGTTTATTGTAACATATAAATTAAATGATTTAAATACAATTAAGTAAAATGCCAAAACACAAATGAATCATTAAAAGCTCACATTTAGGAATGTATATTTATTAAAAAGAAACCCCAGGTTAGATAATTTTTCCAGCCAATCAAAATTAGACATCTTCACACTTTAACTTTCTTTTCGGAAGTTTAAAGGTCGTAAATATGTTTACCTTTCAAAAACTACTTCTTTTGAATGGTGTACAATAGTTAAGTATGTATGAGACTGTCTGAGGTGCCTCTCTCTCCACATGCAAATCTATTTGTATGAATAATATTACAGATATTTAGAAAAGGGCATAGCTGAGTAGATAATGTAGGTTTCCTGGTTGTAGAGTGTAAGTAGGCCGCAGGCAGTGGCACCATGACAACCGCTGGTTGTATTACAACCAGGCCCATGGTTGTAATGGACAGCACTGTTGGGTTCATGTTGTCAGTTGATCAGGGGGATTAGAAAGCTCTTTCTAAGCTCCAGTAAGTTAGAAATGATGCAGAACAGTAACAAAAACTCAGGTGAGATACGGTATGGGCAGAGGATCCTTTTCACAGGTAGGAAAATCTAAATCACAATGTGCCTTTGTTGTGTTTCCTTCAGCTGAGACTCTAAAAAGCTAAAAATTAAATTAAAGCAATTCTGATGTAGCTGTCAGATGACATAGTCTAATAAATTAATAAATAACATGGATTTTAAGCACTCAAATGATTGAAAGGAAGTTTTAAAGGACAGTTTACAAACTGAGTAGTACAAAATGCAGTGTTAATGCAGTCTTTAAAAAATAATGCCAACCTCAACCCAATAACAGGTTGGTCCACCCTCAGTGTTTTAAACCACTGTGAAGGAATTATGGCCTTCTCTTCTACACAGAATTGTCTTAATTCAGCAACTTTGGAGGATTTTCAAGAATGAAAATTTCATTTTGTTTCGCTTTCTTAATGTTGAACCATAAACTCTGAGATTAAATGGGGCAAGTAAAGCCTGTAGTTATCCAGATGTTCTACAACTTGGAGCTCTGGACTTCTGATAGCTTTGGCCAAAATGATAAGGAAGAAGTGTTTTCCTAAGCTGATAAAACTGAATATATTTAGCAGGGCAATTTTAGTTTGTTTGTTTGTTTGTTTGTTTGTTTGTTTGTTTGTTTGTTTGTTTGTTTGTTTGTTTGTTTGTTTGTTTGTTTGTTTCTTATGCAATCTCTGATTGTGGTTTCTACAACAGAATTCAGCAAGTGATGCAAAGATTATATTTTTGTTTCCTCAGTTTATTCGTATAAGTTTTCAGAGTGTGTGCTTTTTTAGACAACGTACATGCATATAAAAGTCAAGAAAATATGTTTGTCACCTTTTGTAAAAGTTTTATATTTTGAACAACCTAAAAACAAAAACATGGCTCTGCTCCTTTGATTTAGCAATTGTTTTTTTTAATTGGTCCTTATTAAACAAATTTAATTTACCTCAGACAAATTTTGATTAGGAGGACTGGGTGACAGCAGCGGTTGATGGTCCCTGTTCTGGGGTATTTTGTGACCTGGATGAGTTGTTGATGCATTCTTGGAGTGATTTTTTCATAATTTATTCATGATTTAGCAAAGGGTGCAATTATACTTTTACGTAGAGGCATGCTTTTGTTGCCTTTAATAATGAAATCATTTGAAGTCTTATAGCTAATCTGCCTGTTTGTCCCATTCAGCTTAATGCAACCACAGGCACCATTGATCACAAATCACAAGTAGGACGCAATTTCATTCCTCACAACTTCGAACTCTCTCCAGGTCCAGGTGGAATTGGAGACAACAGACCAAGATCGAATTATTTCCCCCTCTACATTGGTGTGGGTGCCACTTCTCCCGAGGCCACCAGTGATCTAAGTTATTTATGCCGAGCTGCTCCTGACGCTCCACCGCCTGTGCCCAGGCAGAGCTTTGTGGGTGAGGTGGGCTGGGGATGGCAGTATAACCAGCTGTTGAATGGAGACAGGCTCCTCAGCAACATGCAAATTAAGGTATAAACATGACCTTGTGGAGCTGATTCTAATGAGAAGGTTGAGGCATAAACTTTGATGTGGAAAAAAAAAAAACACTCAGCTTTATTGTGAGGAACAGACGGAGATAATGAAATATGAATTTATTTTCTCTATAACAAGGCAGGACTGGCACATGGATTATTTATCAAGTCTGGATCCTGATCCAAGATAATTAAAACTTCACTATGTTTTATTTTTTGACAGAAAACTGACATTAGGCAAACACTGGAGGACAGAGTCACTCAGAAGTTTCAGATGAACCAGTAGGTCCCAATTTGTCCATTTGAAACACATAAACATGATATATGTACATGATGTTTGAACAGTGTTGAGCTAGCTGGATTGCATGTTACCTGCTTCCTCATCCATAATGCAACATGTCCACTTTAATGAGAACACACAGCGCCTCAAGCCATGGACACGAAATCAGCCAGAACGGACTTGGACACCCAGCCGCCAAACCGTCTGGAGAGTTTATTTACATTTTACATTTTTCATATTACAAAAAAATATTCATGAAATGCAATGGCATTTATGTTTTGTATGTTGGGAGGCATAACTTGAAGAGATTCTACTTGAGTAATGGCGGAATAGTACAGGTATATCACAATAAATTAAAATAACATTGAAAAGTTAACTTTTTATTTCAGTAATTCAAGTTAAAAAAGAACTGTTAATAAATAATAAAGATTCAATGTGTTGGCTCATAGCTAATAAAATAAAATTTCCCTAAAATTTGAATAGTACAAACAAAACATATTAGTAATACTGCAATAGCTATAATGCTATAATAGCAGCCAGCATGCCTAGGTGGGACCCATGTGGGGGAAAGGAGGGTTGATATATGGGTCCCATATAGTCTGCCCTCCTTTTCCCCACATGGGGCCCACCTAGGCATGCTGGCAGGGAGAGCTGACTTTACAGTTGTTCTGGAGACCGTCATTGACACACTCCCCAAGAAAGTCATCTTTAAAGAAGCTGGCTTTTTGATTAGAATGTTGTAACTAAGCATGTTCATGGAAAATTGAGTGGAAGGAAAATATGTAAAGCACAAACAACACAGAAAACCTTGAGAAGATTATAAAGTACATCAGGTTAAATAGGTCCAAGCTTTAAGGAGATGCTGACTTCATGAGAAACCTTGGCACCTGCTCAGATTACCAGAAGTACTGTTATCTGCTTCTGTTGCCATGGTATCACTGGATTTGATTGGCCAACAAACCCACAAAAGATCTATGGAGTATTGTGAGAAGGAAGTTGAGACCAGATTCAACAATGTAGATGACCTGAAGGCCTCTCTTAGATTAACATGGGCTCCCTGAACATTTGTGCAGAACCTGTAGTGCAATAATGCAGTTATTCAAGCATCAAAATCCCTGACCAAGTGGTCAGGGCAATGGATTTTTATTCCTGTATTTAAAATCTTTTATTTTTATGTACTATTCAAATTGTCTGAGAATATGGGTTTTGGGTAACTGAGAGTTGTTTATATCTCAATATCAATAAACATTTGAAATATTTTACTCTGTGTAGTGAATATGATTAATTTGAGTTTACATATATTCCAGTTTATTGAGATGCATCCCATTCAATGGATTTTCTGTAGAGTTGAAAGAAAATAAATAAAATGTGAAAACTAATGTGTAAAGATGCATGGTCTTTAATATACAAAATCTATTTTTTCAGTATTTAGACATATTTCTAGTGGGGCTCTTGTATTAACTTTATCTATGGAAGATTGTGACACATTTACTCTGATCAGAACCCTTGCTGGCAGCACAGCTGAAGGATGATGATGGACAGAGTGTTCTGTGTTTCTATAGTTGTTTTTTTCATCCGACTGGTTTTGTTAGAAACCTTGAAGAATGTTACATTTGTTCTGTTGGATATTTGATGGATTTCTC